AGGGGTAGGGCTCAATCGCCGACCAGGCTGGAACCGGCGTATCGCTGGAAGCCACAGTCCCCTGGCCCTGGAAGAGTTCGTCGATGATCGTCTGCTTGTCGACTGCATAGTTGAGCGCCTGGCGCACTTCCCGGTTCGCCCACGGGGCATCGGGATTGTGGCGGTTCTCGGACGTCTGGACCAGCCCCCCGAAACGCACCACCGGCGACCAGGTCGCTTCCGCCGAAACGATCCGCAGCCCAGCGCCTTCCACTGTCGGGATGGAGTCGAAGCTGATCGGCGCGATGTCGGCCTCGCCGGTCTGCAGCATGGCGACGCGCGTGGATTCCTCTGGCACGACGCGGAACACGACATTCTGGAATTCCGGCGTGACACGCCAGTGATCGGCAACATCGTCCCGCAAGGTCATGACGATCTCTGAAACGGCCGTCGCGCTGTCGAGGACATAGGGCCCCGTGCCGATCGGATCGACACCAGCGGCATCCGCCCCGACCTCATCGAAATAGGCCTTGGAAACGATGCCCAATTGCTGCGTGGCGCCGAAATAGCCCTGCGCCAGTTCGAAATCGGGAAAATTGAGATGAACGATAACCGTGCGTTCGTCGGGCGCTTCCACCGAGGCGATGGCGCGACGCATGGCCGAAGCCGGCCCGGCCCGGGAATCCTCAGCTGTCAGGCGGGCGATGGAATAGGCGACGTCCTCAGAGGTCATTTCCCCATAGCCACCGGAAAATTCGACGCCCTCGCGCAGGTTGAACGTCCAGGAGCGCCCGTCCTCGCTCATTTCCCAGGATTCGGCGAGACCGGGGATGGTTTCGCCGGTTTCGGGGTCGATATAGGTCAGATACTCGTAGGCCAGATCGAGATAGGTCTTGCGCTGCCCGCTGCCACCCCACGGCGTCATCGTCTCTTCCGAAAACGTCGAAAGCGCCACGACGAGATCGTCGGCCTGCGCCCAGGCCGGCGTGACCGGAGCGGCGATCACCGCTGTCGCGCACATCAGTGCTGCAACCTTTCCCCTCATCGAAGTCCTGAAATTCCGTTCCATCTCTTCCTCCCTGAGTTATGGCCCGAAGGTTTGTATAGTTATAACACAGAACTAATAAGTCAACAAAATTGTCGACTATATTGTGTCGTGCCGTTTGACTTCCTCCACCCCCGGACGCTAAATTCGCTACCGGCTTTCCGAAACTGGGTGACTCGTTGATGAATGAACGCGCGACTTCCGCCTCCCTCTCGACCGGAGCGATTGCGGAACAGGTCAAGGCCCGCATTCACACAGGCGCCTATGCGCCCGGCCAGCGATTGATCGAAGTGGATCTGGCCGAGGAATATGCGGCCGGGCGCGGCCGCATCCGCGAGGTGTTCAAAACCCTCGTCGGCCAGGGTTATCTCGAATTCGTCGCCAATCGCGGTGTCTATGTCCGCCGCTTCACCCGCGCCGAAATCCTTGAAATGGGCAGAGTCCGTGAAGTGCTTGAAGGGCTTTCGGCCCGCCTTGCCGCCGAGGCCGGGCTCTCGCCCGAACAGCGCGCCGCGCTCTCGAACCACCAGGACAGACTCGACGCCGCCGTCGCCGCCCACAATGTCGATAGTTATAACGCCGAGAACTTCGCGTATCACGCCACCATTTGTGCGATCGCGGGTAACCGGCATGTCGAGGAGTTCCTGCACAGGGTCAGGCTGCCGCTCTACCGCCTGCAGTTGCCGCGCAATTTTTCCTCCGACTCCATGGCGAATTCCAACCGTGATCACCAGGTGATCACCGCCGCCATACTGGCCGGCAATCCCGACGCCGCCGAGGCCGCCATGCGCTCGCATGTCCGTGCGGGCAATGCTCACGTCACGCGACTGGCCGCCCACCATTTCAGTTAGCCTTTCCTGAACCGGACGGGCACCGAAAGCGGTCCGTATTCGGGCCAGGTCGTCATGGGGGTTGGCCCGACGATCTCCCAGCCATCGGTGCGACCCAGCAACTCCTCGAGCGTCACACGCAGCATCAGGCGCGCCAGCGGAGCCCCGGCGCATTGATGCGGCCCCAAGCCGAACGCGACATGCTGTTTGCCCGATGCACGGTCGAGCCGAAAACTATCGGGATCCTCAAAGGCGTCGGGGTCGCGATTGGCCGATGTAAACGCCAGCGCGATCGGCTCGTCCTTCTTGATTGCGCGACGGCCGAGGATGACGTCGGTCTTGGCGGTTCGGGCGAACCCTCGATAGGGCGTATAGAGCCGCAACAGCTCTTCGAGCGCCGCCGGTACGAGGCCGGGATCGTCTTTGAGCATAGCGAAATGCTCGGGATGCCGGGCCAGATGCACCACCATCGACCCGGTGAATGTGGTGGGTGCTATGATACCCACAACCAGAAGTTGCCGGATCGTGCCCAGAATCATGTCCTCAGGCAGCGGCGCTCCGTTCCCGTCCCGCGCCGCCAGCAGCGCGCTCGTTGGATCGGCACCCGGATCGAGTGGCTCGGCCTTTCGCGCAGCGATAATGTCGCGGGCGACGTCATAGAGAAACAGGCTGGTTTCTTCGAGCCTGGCCGTATCCTTGACCTGGAGCGCCCTGTTGAAATCCGCCCCGATATTGCGGATCTTTTCGGCCTGCACCGGCGGGATGTGAAAGAACTCCGCCAGAACGAAAATGGGCAAGCGGTAGGAAAAGTCGACGCAGATGTCGGCCTCGCCCTTTTCGACCAGCGGGGCGAGCAGACGGGCCACGATATCCCGAACGATCGGCTCCCAGCCCGCCATTCGCTCGGCGGTAAACAGCGGCGAGATCGCCCGGCGGTATGGCGTATGCTCGGGCGGATCGAGATGCAGCGGCGGCCGGCGGCCCGATGTCGCCACACGCGGGACGACGTTCTGCTTTGCGGTTGAGAACGTATCGGAATCGGCGAGCACCCTCACCACGTCCGCATATTTGGTCACCACCCAGAAGCCCTCGAAATCCGACGTATGGGCCACCGGACACCGTCCGCGCAGATCGGCAAACACCGCATGCGCGTCATCGAAGCCCTCGGTCACATCGGCATCAAATTCGTGCAACCGGTTGATTGGGGGAACAAAACTCTTGGGTTTGGGGCGGGTCTCGCTCGACATGCATCTCCCTACTCGGCACGCGTGGTCTCGAACCCAATCCTCGACCGGCAATTGCGGCACCGTCATATTGTCGACAATACCGTCGACTAAATCGAAGTCAAGTTGGATTCTGACACCGCAGCGAGGACGGATGGGCGATGTTCTTCCGCCTGCCCCGGTATGTGGACCCTGAACGGATATCGGTGATCGATACCGAGGCCGCGACCCCCAGGACACGACCTACGGGCTTTGCCCGGGCCGGGCCAGAGCCTGTTTAACGGAAGCGGCGGGCGGCATTGGCCATGGGCGTGACCGCCTCATAGAGCGTTTCGGGCGTATCGCCGGTGACGACGACGCCGACAATTGCGCCCGCTACGCCGACATCCCTGAGCCGGGTCAGGT